GATGCTTTGAGTGTTTCACTCATCTTTTGGCTTTCTCAATGTGTTTTCAACTTCTGCTTTCTGTAGATCAGAAGTCCTATTCCCTAAAGTTTTTCTTTTTTTAAAGCAATTATTGATGAATCCTAATGTACATAATACCAAATAAACCTAAGATGAATAGCTTCAAGGCTCACAGCAATTACTTAGCTTGCCAAGATGAGCTTCATAGCATAAATCTGAATGCAATTGTTGTATTGCCACACACACAGTGGTGACTGAAACCGATTATTTCGGTACCTTATGCTGGTGACTTGCTATTAACTCACTGCTATAGATACTAACTTTGATTTAATTCTCACCAGTACAGAAAATGTTTCTGCTTCTCCCAAACACAGGCACTGCTGTCACTTTGACTGACGTAAGCCCCCATAAGTGATTTTTCAGACAAATTTATCCCCGGAGACAGCGAGATTCCAGCTAGAGCATATTTGTCTTCTTCTGCAGCAAATCTTTAAGCCGGTGCTTAAAGCAAGCAAGAGCTCACCAGAAGTGAGCTTAAGCATTTTTCTGGAAGCGCCACATCAAAAAAAGCACTTCCAGATGCAGAGGTGACAAGTCCTCAACTCGCAGGGTCCCAGCCATGAAGTTAAAATCCATGAAGTTAAAGGGAGACACTTGGAGAGAGTTTCAGCAACTGCAGAGAATCTCCAATGCATTAAAGAGGATTGCAGCATCCTTCCGAATGCACAGAGGGTGCCACGGCCTGGCTGCACCCCCTCCGACATCAATATCCATTTCCTGCATCGATGGGAGACAGAACAATAGCAGCTTCCTCTATAGAATAGAGCCCTTAATTGTCCCAGACCATATTCTGGCTCCCAGAAGCTATTTGTTCTGCTCTGTAGGTAACCACATCCTAGACGAGGCACCACCACCTTAACAGTAAGTGTTATATGCTGCAGGAAGTCCAGGAGGCACTTTATCACATTAATATACCACATTACTGCATTGGCTATAAGCGAGCACACACCAACCACTGCCGAGCACGATGGGGCACTCCAGGGACCAGAAAACACTTGCTACATCTTGTGCATCTGAGAAGCAACAGATCCAAACACCCACTGTCAACAGTTGGACTTTCTCCCTGCCTTGAATGAGCTCTGCAGTGCCTCTGATCCCCCTCCTAGCAGGACAGAACTCGGCAAAACCCCTCAGAAAATAAACTAAGGGAAAATGTCAAGCAAGTTATTAGCAGGTAAAGAAAGTGGCTGTGTAGTAAGTAGCCCTTAATGTCCTCTAAATGATGCCACGAATAGAGGGAATCTTTTAACGTTACTGCAATGCTCAGAACAATGAACGCAGATAATAAAAATAAACCAGCTTGCTTGTTCTAAAACCTTTTAATAGGAATTCACATCTTCAATACAAACTGAGATAAAGAAGCAAGCAAATAGACGCAGTTCTGAAATTGCCACACTTTTCCATCTTTGGCCGCTACTGCCAACACGGTGACCTTTGTGTTGAACAGACTCTTGGGTGCTGATGTGGAACATTTCCCATCATTAGTGAGGGCAGACACAGCCCCACAACCTCTATAACCCTGTTATGGCACAAACATCTTTTCTTTTGAACATCCTTTGGTGGATGCATTTTTCTTTATTATATATATATATTTTATTATTTGATTTGCCCTCAGTTACCACAACACAACCCTTTTCCTAAGGCTGGTTACTACAGCAACAGAATCTGTTTGCATTTGGTAGCAACATCTTGCAGGCATAAAAAAAATAATCTAATTCATCTGCTATTAGCTCAAGAAACTTGAAACCACATGTTGGCAGCCCATGGCACACTGATATCTTTTTATAATATTTCTCACCGTCTCTCTAATTATAAAACCCCATGAATTCCCACCTTCTTGGCAGAGCACAAATCTGAACAGCCTCTGACTTCAAAGGATGCATGGACGAGGCCAACTGCCCTTCATCTCCTGTGTGTCTGTCACTGCAAAGAAGCCACAACATGCAGAATTTGATTGACTCCACTGCCAGAAATGTACTATAGTCCACAGATGCTATCTGCTTTCACTACACTATCACTCACTACAAGTTTTAAATTTATGTGCTATGCATATCTGCATTCGTTCACATATACACATTTACACTTATACAAGGAGTGTTCCCCCCACCCCTTTTTTTTTTTTTTTTTTCTTTTTAGGGGGTAAGCCCATATAGCAATTCCTCAGCAGTAAGACTGTATTAGGTATTATATGAAGTTTCTCCGCTCAGCTCTTATACAAATCAAAGGAAAGAAACTAAAAAGCCCTCAGCGTATAGAGCTACTTCTAACTTACTGCCTTGGGACACAAGAGCGTTTTTATTGCAGGCGAACAATTACTAGTACTTAACTGTCAGGTAAGAGATGACTTCTTCCCCCTAACTACAACACAGCCCCAGTGCACCATGTGTGCGCTTGAGTGCAGCAATACACCAATGATAGCATTGACTGGTCAACCTGATCACTGCTCAGAAACAGCTAGACGGGATGGAAAGCCTGGCCAGGTTACCACCACTGTTAACAACAAGTTTATACCCTGAGAGAACAACCTATGCCAAATTAACTCTAATTTAAAATGAAGGCATTTACCCCAAAGGTTTTCTTTAGTTGCCTTCGGAGCAGACGCTGCTGAGTGAGTGCGCTACTAGGAGAAAGCCAACAGAGGAGTGTAGCAGTGACAAAATAGGCTCTGCATTTATTTTCTCTGTGAATGGGAGGAGAACGAGCTGGGTGAGCTGCTCTGCCAGCTGTCTGCCCAAAACGGCATCTACAACATCAACAAAAACAATCAGTTCAATACAAGCCTGAGAAAATCATTTTCAGCCACGTTTTCAGCTTAGGAGTTTGACCTCTCAAATATATCTCCTCCCAGGTTTGTGAAGAAATTCCCACCAGCTTCTTCACCATTTATATTCATTCACAAAATAGATTTTTTCCTGTCCATTTTTTCCATGTTAGCTTTTATTTTTACTAACCAAATTGATTGCAGTTTGATGTAAGGATTAATCCTTCAGTGTCTGAAAAGCTACTCATGATAGATAGGCTGGGACAGGACAGATATTAAGCTTCATTATTGCTATGGCTGATTGCCTGTGCATTCACACACAGTCGTCTCCAACCCATAACTCATACCTAGAAATTCAAATTATGATTTTCACAGCCAAAACCAGTAAACCAAAATGCCCAAAATGCTTTTCTTAGTCTGCCTGCAGTCAGAAAGCCTATATGGAAGTAAATATAATATGAAGGGAAAAAAAAAAAAAAAAAAAAGACTTGAAGAAATCCTGAGCAAGCAGAAATAGTTTTTGATGGTAGCTGGGAAAATACTGCCAGACTGTCAACTTTAAAGAAGCTACTTTAGCATACAGGGCAAATATATTTAAGAAATAAAAAAATACACACATCTCATGCTTCTTGCATGCGTCCTCCCTCTATCCTGTTCTCAGAAATAAAGCACTGTTTTAAGAGATCCCCATAGAATTGATTGAAAGTTACTCATTTTCTATGAAGTTGTTTTACCATGAATAATCTTAACAGAGCTGCTACAAAATAGCCCAAATGAATTTAGTCTCCTTATTCACCTCTGGGTTGTAGAGTAGCCTGTATTTTATACATCCTCCTGCTCTATCCAGGGGATCCCTCGTGAGCATTTACAGAGTGCAGGGCAGATAAACATGGGTCCAGAGACAACCTAAATGCTGAAAATCTGTGATTTTATGCTCTTTAGGAAGAGACATGGATACACTTTGCATACCTCAAAGAACTTTAAGGATAAATATATCAAAGAATACCATACTAGTCTAACAGGCAGAAGTCTTTCCAACAGCTCCACATCACCCCAAGGCACCACCATGCAGAAAGTCAGAGGGCCTGTTCAGCTCTGTTGGCTATGGCCCTACCACAGATGTACTTGAGGAAAAATGTCTTCATACACACACACTCATACAGCCTGTGCTGATGGGACTGTCTTTTGAAAGTTAAAAGTCAAGACCAAGGGATGAAGAGACAAGTAAACAGTTTTAGTTACTAGCAAAGCAGCTATACTAACAAGTGCAGAAGGAACACATGAACAACAGCACATGCTTCACTGATTTACTGCATTGGAGACATTTATCTAGTGAAAAGTCCTGAAGAATGAACCATACTAGCAAGTTTTTTTTGTTTGTTTTTGTTTCAAAGAATGATTTTGCCCACAGCATCCTCTTGAAGCCTTTTGCAAAGGAGCCTCCACCCATATCCTGTAAACACTTCGCCCCAGCGGTAGAAGTCACATATCTTAACCATCTGGAGTAACTTTGCAATATGATCACCAGAATCATGAGGCGAACTCCAGGCTCACTGTGTCTCAAAATAGACCTCATCAGTTTCCGCATCCCATTCCGTTACAGGGATCACATTATCAGGAGTTTGACCACAACATGTTAACTTGCAGCACTTACTCAACAGTAGGAACGTGCTTGCTAATAAAATAAAATATGAAGACAGTAATGCCAAGCCAAGCACCTCCTCTTGGTCTTCTTATAGAGCAATTGCCATCCAGACTCTGGCAAAGTCTCCAGGACAGGGAGGCCACTAGGGAAGCTTAGATAAGAGAGAATGATCTCAAGCTACTTGAAAATTCTGCGACTAGATCTCAGCTGTAAGGACCAGTGACAGCAAAGTTTAAAGCAATTCAGGCAAATACAATAAAAGAAGGCAGTAAGCAAGCATCTTTCCAATTGTCCACTAATCACTGTGGCTGTCCACCTTGGCCAATGCTACAATAAAAGGAAGATACTGATGCACTTCAAGCCACAAGATGTGTTGCTTGACAGTTAGACACAGAGAGACCAAAGGCCAGCTGACTTGATGAGCAAATAGAAGAATTCTTAAGGCACCACTTCTATTGGCAAACAAATAAGACAACAGCAAGGTGCCAGCTGGCAAGGAGACCCCCAGGAGCACAGAAGTTCAGAGAGTCTTACCTATATACAGGGAGGAATCTTTCCGCCTCACGTGGTCATCGATGTAGGAAACTCCTAGGGGCTGGACAGGGGTAGCACCAATGCCAAGGAGGACCTGTGCTCCAATGAGCAGCAAGTACATCATGTTCGTCGCAGTCCTGTTCCTGCAGATAAGGTCCGGGTCTGGTCCCTCGTCACTGGTGGACCCGTTGGCAGCACACACGTCCCTCCCTTCAGCCCCCCAGCGAATCTCCCCCGATTCGTACTCGTACTGGTGGGTCAGAAACTCAGGCAGCGCAGAAAGGAGGGCACCCAAGGCCATGACTATCCCTCCGCATCCTATCAAGCGTGGCCTGTGTCCTCGGGCTCCAAAGTAACTCACGAAGAGGATGAGGGCCAGGTTCCCAATCTCGAAGCTGCTGGCAATGACTCCCACATCTGCACTCTGCAGGTTGAATCGTCGCTCTAAGGTGGTTAAAACACTCACCTGCAACAGAGAAATTCACAGACGATTACTTAAAGAAATACTCCCCATATTCTCCATACAATTTGGTGAGGTGATGGATTGATCCCTTCCTTTCTGGAGATGAAAGGGCCAAGTAAAATCCTGCAACAAGGAAGCAAGGGAATTTATTGGCTCAGACTGGGGATGCTTCAGAAACAAGTGCTGCAGAACAGGCATAAAACTGGTAGGACCAAGATGAAAATAATCATCCTAAAGTTTCAAAGCCACAGGATCAGCAAGACTTTCAGTATACTGCTGCTGAAAGCTTTCGAATTTTGCATTAAAAGCACACATTCCTTTGACTTTCCATAGGATCTAGACACCTACATGCCAAGGGCATCTAAACCACCATGCAGTACTCTGCCAAGTCACGATCTGCCCATTCAAATGCAGCCAAATCAGAAAGTCCCAATAGCCAGTGACCCCCGATGGCCTACCACCTGTTTGAGCACATGCTAGCTTCCAAGTTTCCCAAATCCATCAATGTATTTTTGGATACTTAGAGACCTGGGACTCCATAGTTGATTCGGCTCCATTTGGGCTCCCTTTCAATTTGAAGGCACAGCCTTGGCCTTGCAAGCCCTTTCCTGCAGGACCAATGCACAAACCACTCTAAAAAATGCATCGCGGCAGGCACCTCCACTTTCTCTAAAAAGTGATTGCAGCAACCAAGCAGCAGAAAAGCTTGTGGGTATTTCCCTCACACATCAGCATCAGCCCATGAAATTGGTTTGAGACAGTGATGCAAAAATAGGCAACAGAAGACTTCTGTTAAAGTATAAAAAAAAAGGTTGATCAAATGGCTTTAACTGTTTGCAAATTACTTAATACCTGGATCCCCACTTTCCCAATAATTTTGAGAAGACAAACAAATTCACATCAAAGATTTAAAACTACAATGAAGAAGCAAATAAATAAATTTGGGTTACTTAACATGAAGATGAGAAAGGGATACAGTTTTCAATTATTTAATAGACCACTGCAAAGAGGAATGACCCTTTCCATGCTTCCAAAGGGGCAGGACAAGAAAGGACATGCTTAAACTTCAGCAAAGATGCTTTAGGTTAAATACAAGGTGTGTTGGCAGGGGCAAACCAGCCTTCTAATGGCAAGGACTGCAAAGCCCTGAAACCTGCTCTCTGCAGATGCTGCAGTCTGTCATTGGAGGCCTGAAAGAGCACAGACAAGCCAGCAACGACACAGGTGTGAGTGATCTTGCCACAGGGCAGGAAAATGGACCAGATCATCTCCTGAGATCTCTTCCAGCTTTGATTTTATGGTGTGATGAAACACAGGCATGAGTTTTGTGCAACAGTCAAAACACTGATCACAGCAAGAAAATGAAACGTTAGGTACCTCAGCTGCTGTCATCTCTACTCAGGGGAGAAAGCTCAGTGTATGTTCATGCCTATAGCCATGTCCCCTTTATAAATATATATGGATGTATCATCTTGAACATGCCACAAAAACACCCAAAATCTACACCTTGGGTAAATGAGCATCTTGTTTTTAATTGCACATTGCAAAAAATGAAGATATGTAAGGTTGTCCTAAAACAAGCATATTCTTCTATTAAAGAACAAAAAACCACACACACAAAACCCCATGTAATAAGGACCTCATAAGGGAGGGCAGCCCCTGGAGAGCACAAAAATAGCCTCCCACCGGAGGCACTGGCAATCTTTGCTGCTGCACCTCAACACGCAGGAGCAGCCTGACCGACTTTAAGGGATTCTGACAGCAGCTCCTCTCCAGGGCAGCCGGGCTCTCCCCGCCTGCACCCCGGCTCCGCTCGGGCAAAGGCAGCTTTAGCGGCAACGTGGTGGCAAATTCCTGCTTTGCACGAATAAACAACCCGCCCCATGCAAAGCTCCTAAGTCAGATGGACAAAAACAGACCTTTTCCATCACTTCTGAAAGTTTAGCTGCTGCTGTCATCCTCCTGCACTAAGTGCCAAAGCTGAACAAGGAAGTGACATGCACAGTAAAAGGAGGAGAAAAAAAAAAAAAAAAAGCTCTGAGCCCCCCAGCAGCATGATGTGTGCGGCAGGAGGCTGCTGCTCTCCAAAGCACGAGGCACCTGTCTGGACAAACAGCACCGTGATTCCCGGGGGAAGCTCTGCCCTTCTGCAGGGCAGGACACCCGATCCCTGCTCCAGTGCTGCCCCATGCTCAGCGGTATCAGCGCTCACACGTGCATCTCATGGAGATGACATTGGCCTGCGCCTCGGTGGGAGCCAGAGCCCGGCAGGTGCAGAGACGTCTGCTTTGAAAGGTCGCATTAATATTTTCAGAAGGAAGCACGAGAAGATGGAAGGACCTGCCCAAGGTCACACTGCCCAACGCTGCAGCCCCGCGCTCCTGTCACTGCCGCCTCCCACACCAGGCGCCCGGCCAGCAGAGCAGGCTCCATCAGGCTCGTTCCTCACGCAATGGAAAGGTGGCTGGAGCTTCAAGGGCAGGGAAAAGCAGGAATAAACTTCCCTTGGGACTTCCCATGGCTAGCGAACAATTCCCATCCCTGCGGATGGGCTGGAGAAACTCCCGCTGCTGCTTTGATCCCTGCTCGCACCAAGGAGAGCTCTCTCTGTTTATAGATGCAAGAAATATCAGAAATACTGGCAGACTCCTCCTCGTTGATCCCTGCAACTGAAGGCCTCTTGCAAACAGGACTTGAGGTCAAGGGCTTGTGTTCAGAGCTGGTGACACTGCACCCACATGAAATGAAGGTAGTTGAGGACTGCATTGTAAATACATAAATAGAGCCTTCCTTCCGCCCTCCTGACACTCAGCTACAGTCTCCAGCAGGTCCCCATGGGACACAGCTGTAATGAGACCCCACAGCCACAAGTTAGGCACAAGTGGGTACATCTCTAAGACTAACTGAACATGCAAATAAATAAAATCACAATTATGGGCCCATTCCTGAGCATCATCTAGACAGGAAACACATAATTACTCAATAAAGTTGTGTAAACTGTGGCACAGACACACACAGTAATGAGACAAGTACAGACAACAGAATTAACTTATGATGGAATAGTTCAGGTTGAAAGATGGAGCCAGCAGAAGTGATTTCCCAAGGGCAACAGGTACTAACTAGCTTTGGGAGTCACTCCCACATTTCAACTCGGCTGCCTAGTTTTAGGCTTTAACCGTGCATGTTTACAGACAGCTAAAAAGCATGCTGGTGTTTAGAAACACATCTTTGCTCTGCATTTTACATGGGTCAGATTTCAGACAGCTGCATTTCACATAGAGAAATTACACAGCTTCGATGTGCAATTAGTAGTGACGGGTGACAGCAAGTTGGTGACAAACCCAGGAATAAAACCCTAAAATCCTCACTCTTACTCTGCAGAATTTCAGTTGTTCTTTTCCATTTGAAATACACTTAGAGTGCTCCTAATTAGGGAAACTGAGACAATCTCCAATAAACTACAGTGCTGCCTCATCCCCAAAATACTTCCTACTTTGCTTTGGCTAGGGGAAGGAAGCAAAAGGAGAGGAGAATGACCCAAAGCAACCGTGCGTGCTCAAAGGGGCAGCCTTCTCCATCCTCCAGCAGGCCTGAACCCCCAGCCAGTCCTTCTGCTCCTGCTGCCCCTGGTACCACCCCTGCAGGATGCCACATACCGCAAAAGAGCAAAACCATCACATCTGCCTCGAGCACCCAGAAACGCCAGGCTGCAGCAAGCTGGCAGCAGCACTAGAGCTGCAGCCTCTATGGCTCCGCAGCAGCGCTGAAGTCACCTCTATGTCCCCACTACTCTCATCGCTCTTGTGTCTGTCCCAGAAACAGTGCTTCATAGGCCAGCGGGGCTGCAGACTGGAAAGCACTTTAGCAATATCACCACATAAAACCCCCCAAAGCTGCCAGCCCAGTTGCTTTTCTGTGTCTCAAGGCCTTCATCCATGCCCCCCCATCCCACCCCGTTCCTTATTTTGGAGCTGCCTTTCTTGTTATAAGAATGTCCTCTGTCTTCAGCAGGCTTTTCATTTCATGCATGTTAGGTACCTCCTGCCCAGTCTTCAAGAGCGGTGCCATAAGGTTTAGCTATTGCACTGCTGAGATTTAACAGCCACCAGCACTTTGCAAGCTCATGCTCCTCAGAATAATTTTAAATCAGAATCGGTCAACTGGGCCAGTGTAGAATTAAATCAGGTAATCCATCTTTCTGCCTTGCAGTGAGCAGAACACCTTAGAGGCAGTAACCATCAGTAATTAAACCCTGCACCATGTCTGAGCTATGTGCACACTCATGTACCTGCCCGGTACAGAGCTACTGAACGCAGCACGTGTGCATTTGTCTCCATGGATTTCAAAAAAAACAGATTCACAAGGACCTGGGCTGAAGGAGCCTCTCAAGTCCACTCTAAAGTGTTCTTCAATGATTGAAAAAGGAAAATCATCCCACATAATGCATGCAGTGACAAACGACCTACACACACACATCAATCACCACCTCGAAATTTTGACATCAAGCAACTTTATTGCAATGCCTATAACTAAACCCAGGGAAGCTTTTGTCATGCCATTCTGGACCCATTTCAATAACACATGCTCACATACATCATTCTTGTCTGCCCTAGATCTATAGATCTTGGCATTTCTGAACCAAGGTAAATTTGTTCTCTCCATGGCCTGTTTAAATTAATGCTCAGCAAAAATGCAGCCCACAAGTCTGTCTCACACTATTGCCCCATTCCAGCACCAAGAAATGAATCTAAGGCTGGGGGATTCGTTATTCACTCAGATATGTGGTGTATTGGAAATGAATATCATATTGTTCGCATCTCCAATGATCAAGTCCTATTCACCCACAGAGTCTAGAGATAAGTTCATTGTATTAATAATACAAGGTTATATATAGAAAACACATTGACTTCATGCCTGAAGGGCCTTTTTTAAAGGCTTCTTTTTAATGTAAAACACATTTTCTCAGTTATGTGGTAAGAGATTGGACTTGAAGAGACATGTCT